CAAAACTTGTTGTTTTTATTAACATTCCTTATTATTTAAAACGCTAGTTAAGATACTAGTACTTGAAATGATACAGCTTATTTTCAAAAACGAATTTGTATAATATATTTCTTAATGAAAATTCTACCGGGTACAAACATTTCATGTCTCTATTTCTGTTATGTATTGTTTATGATATTGCCTGTTTGATTTTCTGTATTGACAGAACAATTTGTCCATGGCTATGAATGTACAACTTCAAAACAAATGAAATGTTATATTTGTCATAATATATGCATCATAAAGTTATTTACTTGTCTAGGTACACATTGCTTCTTCAGGGACTGTTGTAAAAATAGAAGTGCTATAGAAAAAAAAAAGGAGAATAGAAAACGAATCTTTAAAGAACGTCAAAAACTGAAAAATTTGAATGCTGCAGCTTCGTTTTGATTGAGTTTGTATATGGACGGTACTTGAAAGTGCAAGCTACCGTCCAACACACCTTGGCACCGACTCACATGAAAAGGTGAAAATTTGAATAAAAACAAACCCAACAAACCCAATGATGTGTTCATACGGCGGTTATCATGTATCCACCTTCAATGTGACAGGTTGAAACGCGGCGTGTGGTCTTCATATAAAAAAAAACGCATGGCCCTAAACGAGAAACTAAATACAATGGAACGGCGGAATTATGAGAAAGGAAAAAAATACAAATATATTAATATGCCTACATAACTTGCAATTTATGCTATAGTTCGTTTGTTAAACTACAAGTTACTCAGAAGCATTGTTGATTTTAGTAGTAAATTTTATGAGGTAAAAACAACATACACAGGGGTGCTTGTTTTTTAAGATTACATATTGTGTACTTTAAGAACCGCAAACACATTCAGCAAAACATTATCGGTCTATCTTTCCTTACTTTACTTCTACAATGCTACAATATACTCTTAGAGAAGTCCTTGAAAATGTCAATTTAACCTATAAAAATAGCTTCATTTACTTTCTTACCTCAAATTGACAAAATTCTTATCTTCGTTAACCTAAATCTTTGTCTGATCAAAATGGCGTATGAGGCGGACAAGAAACTAGAAGCTTTCTCTAGAATCAGAAATCATAACACTCCAAAGTACAGATCTTTATTGTAAGACCGGATATTAAAACTTCTTATATACAAATCAGAGAAGAAGCAATCAATTGCGTCACACCATAAGAGCTTTGTTAAACAATATATTAAGAAGGTCTTGTTACCTTAAGTACTTCAGTATATTGACACCTACCAATTCGTTTAATATAAAATAACATAATAAAAAAATGATTTATTATTTTTTATATTTGGATGAATTCGTTTTTTATTATCTCAAGCTGGTTAAAACGATTTTTAAAGAAATACAAGAATTGAGAATTGTTATTATGATGTTACTGAATATATTGATAGACTATCAATACAAGTTAGCATGTAAAATCAAACTATGCCCCCTATGTTATTCAACCAAAAAATAGATGTGTGACATATAAAGAAAACAACAACATAACAACAATTATTAAATTTTATTATCCATATTTTAACTTCTTTGTTTCATAATTCACATACAATTCAAAAACATGTCACATTACTATCATAATTCAAATAAAATTCGAATGACTAAAAATATCTCTCGAGTTTAAAGTGAAAAAGGAAGATATTTCACACCAGGTATCAATAAACAATTAAGGTTTTGCAAAGGTAATTGGTTTACTGCGGTTATTGGCATAGAATCAATTAATCGGACGGAGTATTTACTGCCTGTCACGTATTAATAATTGATGAATCTAGTGGAATTCGTGAAGATCTAAATGTTGCAAACGCAGATGATACTTGATCAAAATGTGTGTTCCATGTAGTTATATATATAAATGACTGTCGTAAATGTATCAACATATTTTTTAGTGGAATTAAACCATTCCGAAAATGTGTTTTTTAAATCTTGAATCTATTCTTAGCAAACACACGAAGTTGACATTGTTTTTGAATAATTTAATGGCTTTAATGTATCTTCAAAGAAATATGATCATCATAAAAAAACAATATTTTTACATGCTGGTTAAACCCGTTTGTAGGTTCATTAAAATTGCATTGGTAAAATAATAATTATCATATTATGCATTGCGTAATAACCGCTCCCCTGTTTTTTCTTAAATCATGGCGATTTCTGTAAGAAGGCTATTCCTTTTTCATCAATGACATGCTGTAACTGCTGTCTGGAATCTTTTTCCGTTCTCTGCTGTCTTACTCCGTCTTTACATCTTTATTCTGATAATTAACATTTTTTGTTACATCATATATTTTTCACTCCTACCATTAACTACATACTCATATCAAATGTATATAACATAAAGATTTTTTTAATTAAAAAAATACTCTTTGTACTTTCAAACATATTCATATTATGCATGTACATACATTGACACATTTTCAATTTTAGCAAATACATACTAGGATAAGACCTTTATAAGCATCAGCTTACGGTTCTGCGTTGTAAACTTTTATTTGTTAATTGCAAATGTGTATACTTGTTTGAATAAAGTATGTTTAAACAATAAACGTCTTTTTAAAATAATTTTATTAAAATAATTGTATTTTGAAGTCTGTAAAGCAGTTGAAATTATGCACTATGTCTTTAAATTGCGTGCTGGGTTTATTTCACCTAACAGTTCATAGTTTAATATTAAGAAACCATTTATTCTTTTTAATTTACACAACAATGTTTTCGCATTGATTTTATTTCTTGTTCTACGTACTTTTCAATTTGTCACTACTGCCATTTAAAGGACGTTTGATTAATTCAGGCTTGATTGTATGTTCTTCTTAATTACAGACATTCCCTGACACGAATGTTTACCTTTATATAATGATATATTCAAATAAGCCCTTGACTTTTGGTTCCTTTAGATTTGATTTCTCAAATTTAATATCACACTTCATTAATAACTTTTCAGGAAAACGGTTAGTTAAACCTATTTAAATTATAAATAACGTAATTAAACCTATATAAGCCAATACGGAATTCTGGCTGTATACCAGAAGATAAATACTTCGATGTTCGCGATATCGCTTTTATGCTGACACCTGGACTAGAAAGCAAACATACATAAAAAATAAAATTACAAAGACAGCAACAAAAGAAAAACTAAGAAACAAGTAAACATATACTTTTACATACGACTTGCATGGTGTTCAAATATCACAAAGAGATAAGGAAAAAGTGAATGCCATCTTTGATTGAACAACAAACTTGCCCCATGAGATTATTTTATATTATCAACATGTCATCACCATTCCAAAATCTCTACCAGAATTTATTACAAAGAATGTAATCCATTCATCAACTGCTGCCTGCCTTAAATTTGTGATCCAGAAATACAAATAAATATATGTAAGTCATATACATGTATATAATTGATATCTCTTCTTCATATTGTAGTTGCATTTAAGGATTCTTTTAAGTTTATATTCAATACATAAATATGAATATAGTAATTTAATGATCATACTGTAACGAAATGCTTCCAAATTTAAGCAAACCTTTAGGTACTACCGTTTAAGTATTAATCTACAAAACTGACCGGAATATACATACTTCTGAAATTACAGCTCTTTTTTTTATAAGAAAAAGGCAAATTATCAATAAATACAATTGTCAAGGAGAATCAAATTATTGAGTTCAGATGACCAATTGATGCCATTCAATTATACCCCATAATAACAAGCATGTTGCATTTTTAACTGATATGTTCAGAAACAGAATTAGACACAAATGTAAATAGATTTTAACATAAAATTAATACGCAAGCACAGAGAGTGAAGCGATACTCACATTAATTTCTAGTCGACATATAAGACGTTTGGAATCTGCTTATAATCACATTTTAAACATAAATATTTATATCATCATATGATGTACTCCTGCTTTAATTATATAAAACGCTCTGCAAAAATGAAAACGCTAACAAAATAGTTTGATTTATTTGCCGAGCAAAATCGGCAGCCTAAACAAGTTTGAAATTATGTTGACATAATTGATTTTGCTTGTGTGAAAACTAGGTCAACGAGGTGGAATGTCAGAAGTTTAATGAAACAATCTTTATGAGTTTGCTGAAAAAGTTAATGCGTTTACTCATTTCAAATTTTCTTCGCGTATATTGAAAAAGGTTTTTGCAATTAATAACGATACAAATATAAATGAAAGTTTGTACAAAAATTCATGCAAATATTGATATAATTTAGAATTGGGTTCATATATCGGTCACAGGCAATTCTTAAAACTTCTTACCTCGGGCAATAAATTGTCGCTAAGGCAGTGTTCCCTTTGATAACTATGCTCGTATCATGTGTGTTATCCATGATAGATATAATCATTTTAGTGGACAACAAAATAGATATAAACATGTAAAAGAACAACGGAATAGATACAAACATGTAAAATAATCTGTTACACTGTATATCGTTTACGTTCATAAAATATTTTTCAATTTTGATCTAGAAATTATGATCTCTTATAGTTGCAATACTTAAAATGTCGAATCAATCCTTTTCAGATCAGTGGCTTGACTTCCAAACAGATGGCACAATAATTATAATACGTGTATTTGCATGATAAAATAGTCACACACCTTCACGGAATTAGCGATTTAGCTTATTATGCCAATATGCCCTATTGTATTTATGAATAACGTTTAATCATATTGTATCTTCGCATAGCGAAAGTAAAAGTATAATGTGTGAGTGGCCAGTAAGCAATAACCTGTTGGAACCGAAAGTTATAAACCTTTACCAAGCTTGTCCATGCAGTCTGTCCAGGCTCTATAATGTAAGACAATCACTGTCCTTTAAAATCGAAATCTTTTTGAATTTAAATGGACATTTCCAAATTCAGAGCAGGGCAAATCTAGCAGGGTAACAAAGAAAAGCATATGTTCTTGAGCTTCAGTCGAGTAGTATTATATCTATTTTATATTTAAAATATATTCTATTTCAGATTCCACAAATCAGTTATGCATCGACCAGCTTAGATCTAAGTGACAAGTCTAGATTTGAATATTTCTCAAGAGTTGTCCCTCCTGACTCATTTCAAGCTACAGCCATGGTAGAAATAGCAGCTAAATTTGGATGGAATTACGTAATTACTCTAGCAGATGACGGGAATTACGGCGAGAAAGGTGTCAGTGCTTTCGAAGAAAAAGCAAAATCATATGGTAAAATACCTGCTTGTAATGTTTATTATATATCAAGACATTCGATTGTACCGTTTTTTGGGACGTTCTAAAGAGACATACTTTTTTCTCTATTCTATTTTTAAATACAACGCAATTTACAAAGCAAAATATCTCAGTGAAAAAAAAAGATATGAATAATTATCATAAGATAAAGAAACCAACCACGTTCATATAACTGATACAGTTTCTAGAACTGCTTCTGAATATGTTTGTATGTATTTTACTTGGTCTGTACTTTTCATTTATTAAAAATTTTGTAAGCCCTATATACTCCATATATTTCGAAATGAGAGATTTGCTGTTACCAACAATATGTTAGAAATTCTTTCTTTATAAAATAACTTCATCATAATTTAATGTAAAAATTCCATGTTTTCGCGGGATTTTTTTTATATAATCTGAAACATAATCAACTAGACTATGAAGCCCTTTATATCAAGTCTCCAAAGTCTTTGAAACGCTTGAAGTAGCGGCGGTTTATGGTTTATCTTTTATATCTATAAGTTCTAAGGAAAAATAGTTTAAACATAATAGGAAATAGACGAGAGCGAAAGACGATCATCATATTACTCTACTCGACTGAAATAACTGGAGCATAACGCAACAGCGGTAATAAAAGAAAAAAATAGTTGCAGAAAACATTGTGTTGTTTTGTTGTTAGATAATATTAAGCAGTTATTATAACGATCTTATGTCAGAAGTATGTTGTTAGTGTGAATAATCTTACCTTTTCAGGAATATGTGTCGCAAGATCACTCAAAATTTCACGTCTGGCAACCAACATCGAATTTGATAAGATAGTCAGCGACCTACTCTCAATTCACAAAGCTCGCGCTGTAGTCATGTTCGTCAACGAAGACAATTGTCGAAATCTGCTGGCATCACTTAAACGATTGAACAAAACGACCGAATTGACATTTCTAGCTAGTGACAGCTGGGGAGCCAAAATACATCCTGTTTATGGTCAAGAAATATTGGCAGAAGGAACCGTTAGTTTACTTCCAAAAAGAATGGTAATAAAAGGCAAGTGCTTAAAGATTAAAAGCCAAGTATGTTCAAGGTGATGCTCAGAAGATAACAACATTGCATTAGACAATAGATTTAAACGAAACTACGATACAAATATACTTTTTTGTCCTTGGTTGCTATCAAATGTGTTATTAATGCAAGTCCAAAAGGGCATACCAATATACTGTTAGGTAAAAACAACAGTTATGAAATTATAATTTATTTAATGAATAAGTTTTATTAAAATGGAAGTTTAAAATGCACTACGTGTAATAACTAACAAGTGCAACACACGCTAAACTGTTTTTTCACAAAGATATTGGCAAGATGTCTTTATATACAGCAGATAAAGAATTGATTTTAAATTTTGATTTTGTTTTAATCTTTTCATTTGCACCGCACTATTGCTCCACTCAAAATGGTTTTAAAAAATGCAATACTGTACACACTCATTAATACAATTTGGTGATATATCTGTTTGTTATTTTAGAATTTGATGACTATTTTCTGAAGCTTGATCTAACGCATGCGCAAAAGAACCCATGGTTTCTTGAGTACTGGGAATCTATATTTGAATGCAGCATAAAACAAAAAGTAAACACCACCATTTGTACTGGTAAGTTTTTACCTTCATATATAAAAAACTACATGAAGTTAATTAAGATATGTCAATATATTATTGCGAAAATTGTACATCAAAATTTTTAATCCGTTTGTTTATTTGTTTCGTTTTGTAGCACTAGGACAATATCAAAATATTAGAGAAAAACAGAATCCTTAAAGAAAGCCTAACACGGCAAAATTGTAAAATGAAAAAGGCTCGGTTTGATTGAGCCTGTTCATGGACGGTACTGGAAAGTGCAAATTACCGCCCACGCCCCCCTAGCACCGGCTCAAGCAGAATCGAACATTTAAACACAATAAATGGAAAAACATGAATTTAGAAACATCCGCAGATGTCCATATTGAAACATTCAAACATTGTTGGTGAAGGGTACTCTTAGAGGCCTCTTCATGAATATTTTTTAGCGGGAACGGTCTATCGTAATCTATTTCTAAATGTCCTTGTATAAAAGAGTCCATGTGTGTTGACTAGATTCAAACGTAATTGCAAATGATACTTCGAGGTCGCGAAGCCCCTGACAGATTTTGACTTGCTATATATTTGAAACAGTACAAGCACAATGCACACGCATATACTCGAAGATAAAGCCATTATTAAATGGGATCTGTTAAACAAATTATCATATAAATCTATATGTAAAAATTTAATTTGAAAAATACATTACTTGCACTTTTGTTTAGTATATTTGTCATTTTCATTTTGTCATTCAATTTCAGGTCATGAGGATATTGTAGCTTTCAATCGGGAACACTATGAACAAGAAGGCTACGTGCAATTTGTGATAGATTCTGTGTATGCTTTAGCGCATGCGTTACATGCTCTTCTAGAAACTCGTTGTCCCGGAAGGTTTCATGAATGTATCATCAGAACCTTTCTTAACGGCGAAGATGTGCTAAGTAAAATACGAAATGTATCTTTTATAGGTATGTGATCATAAAATACGAAACGCTGTTCTATCGTCTAAGATAAAATACAGAGGTTTCCTTTTGCTTCATGAAACAGTAGTTCAAGATTTATATATTAATATAAATAAGATATGTTTTCAGTTGCTGGATTTGTAAAAAATTCTACTATAAGTTCAAATAAATTTATGTAAATAGATGGGCGAGCAATGACTTTATTTAATTCATTCATCCTCCTTCAACTTTCGTATGTTTACTTATTCTGCCTTATTTTTCGTCAATTAATATTTTTCATAATGTCCTTTCTTGTTTAGTAGAGGTGTATACATGTGTACATTTGTAAATCATGTTTTGCACGCGATTTTCACAAATCTGCATTTGTTATCTGCTTTGTTGCTCTTGAGATATTAATTTGAACTATCAGGTAAATGGTTATCGGCATAAACAAAATTTTTTGTCATTATTAACTCCAGGTATTGGTGGTGATATTGTTCAGTTTGACAAAAAAGGCGACGGTCTAGGAAATTATGATATTTTCCAATACCAACAGATCGATGATGGATCTTATGACTATGTTACAATTGGAGAATGGACAGACAGGTTTGTCTCATAATATGGTTTAAGTAATATATCTTAAAAATGTTAATACTTGAAATGTTTTCATATTCTATTATTAGGTCACCTATAACATAGCATGGCAATTCTTTTTTTAAATTCTTACTTGCCTTTTTCCGAAACTACACGAATTTTTCATCCCTTTAAAGGCCCATTATGCCTCAGAGAAATACTATCTTTTTTTCTCTCAAAACCCTTGTTACAGTTGCCAAAACTACTCAATTGCCATAAACTTTTGTTTGCTTCTTTAGGTCTGATGACAGTCAGTATGGTTATAGTGACAATAGGTATAATTATAGTGAATTAGTATTTTGTATGAAAGTTAAATACTACTTTTTTACATTTTGTTACCTTAACAACACATTACCACAGGGCTATTTTATGCAGTTGTTTAGCATCAAGCATGCTGCAAGTCCACCTTAAAAATTATATAATACATATTTGATATTTCATACGCAAGAATAAAATATATCTGAAGCATAATGTGCCTTAAAGTTATACTTTGCTTTAACTAGACATACTCCACTTTCTGCACATGCGTCACCCCCTGGATGATATGTAGCGCTCATGTTCTCGTCATAAATCTTCAGCACATATTATTTGTATAAACATATAAAGAAAAGAATAAGAACATCAAGGCCCAAGGGAAATTATTTCTTTAAAAAATGTTATCGTTAGTTAATAATACTATCTACAGATACGGAAGTAAGATGGTTTGCTGGGAGACAAATTGGCAATATGCTTTATGCATTTTTAAAACCTGTTTGAAGATTAATTGTTAGAATAAAAAATATTCATAATTGCATTGTCTTTGACTACATGCATGTTGTAAATCATTCATCAATTTAATTATACTATTTTATAGATTGATAATATTCAACGACACAATGAAATTTCGGAGCGGATCAGACAAGCCACCGAGATCAGTGTGTAGCGAAGAGTGTCCTTTTGGTCATATCAAGAACAATACTGTCGAGAGTGATACATGTTGCTGGGTCTGTATCCGCTGCAGGGAACATCAAATGTTAAAAGACGAATACACCTGCCAGGATTGTCCGGATGGATACACCCCGAATAAAAACCTAACTTTGTGCATTCCACTTCCTGTCATGCATCTGACATGGGATTCGCTTTGGGTTCTTCTTCCAGTGTCAGTTTCAACTCTTGGAATATTTGCCTCCGGATATGTGTTTTATGTTTTTATCAAATATAATAATACGCCGCTTATAATGGCGTCTGGGAGGGAGCTCTGCTTTGTTCTTCTCTGTGGAATACTTTTATCATATGGAACAACATTTATTCTCCTTGCTAAGCCGACAATCATAATTTGTACAATAAAAAGGTTTATTCTAGGCATATCTTTATGCTTGATTTATGCATCAGTGCTTATAAAAACAAATCGTATTTATCGGATCTTCAACAGGGGAGTTAAAGCAATGGTTAAGAGACCAAGTTACACAAGTCCGAAATCTCAAATATTTATTTGTCTGTGTTTAGTTTCTGTACAAATCGTTGGAGGACTCACTTGGATCGGATTTGAGAAACCTCAAACAATGTATGAAAAACATTACACAGACTTTCTTGTATTGACTTGCAAAGCTAGTCAAATAGCCATTCTTCTTTCTCTTGTTTACAATATGATGCTCATAATTCTTTGTACTGTGTTTGGATTTATGACTAGAAAAATTCCACAGAACTTCAACGAGGCAAAATATATTGCCTTTACTATGTACAGTACATGCATAGTTTGGTTGGCATTCATTCCAATTTACTTTGGTGCAAATCATGATTTTAAGGTGAGTTGTAAATATTTATACCTTTTGAATATATCATAGCATCTATTTATGTAAAGTAACCGATTACATAGGCTTCTGATTAAAGGTGTTTTTGCCTAGCTTTGAACAATCTTCTACAGTATATTGTTATAACCACAAATCTTATAAAATGTTCTTATTCTAATTGCACAAGCGTTTAATTATCTCATATCATTAATTGAAATGATTGTTATTGTAAAGAGTGTCAGGAACATAATATTAGCCACAAAACAAATGCACTGTTTCTTCTGATAATTATTGCATCTACAAATTCAAATCCCCTTCTTTGAAAAACTTTTAAAGTACTTTAGAATTAACAACCTTAACACATGTTCAGTGTTAAGAAAAAATTGTAAACACATACAATTGTATAGATATACAATATATGACATTCATTTTGAAACAAATCGAAATTGAATGTGAAAATCAATGTAAAACTCTTATCATTTATATGTAAATTAATGTGAAAATCAACAATTTACATGAGAAAATCAATGTGAAGGGTACATGCCATAAAGTAACATGTGTGATATACTGTCCCTGAGATATTATTTCGTTCAAGGAAATTTTGAAATTTAAAACTGGATTATAACAGACATTTTACATGAAATTTTAAAATATAAGTCTGCTTTTTAAAACATGATCTATGGTTGGCCCAAAGAATAATGACACACTTTTTGTGAACACCACATCTAGGTAGCATTGTCTTTCATAAATGTTTGAACGTACAAGGTTTTCTTAAGATTTTTTATTGTTAATTTCGATATAGATATTATATATCCTGACTTCTTGTTATCGATTTCCTGTTATCATGTTTTTCTTTCATATTTACAGATTGAGATTACGTCACTTTGCATGTGTGTGAGCATAAGTGCCACCGTGGCTCTCGTGTGCTTATTTGGACCTAAAGTGTATATTGTCATATTTCAACCGCATAAAAATGTACGTCAAGGGGCTGTCCCATCATTACAATCAGCTAGTAGAAGTTTTCCCAAACCTTACATTCCAAATGTTAACAATCAAACCGCTATATGTTCCAAACCCACATACGCTTCTTACGAGAGTAACAATGGACATGTGACGGGTGTTACAAAAGTTGTGAATTGTGTACATACAACAAGTACAATAGAGCAAACGAATGACATATTTTCAGACAGTATGGAGGAGGATGAAGACGAATTTTGTGATGAAAGTTCTTTTATTCCAAAACCAACTGAAGATAAAGCAACGTCAACATCCGAACAATGATTTTCAGTAATTTATTTTGTTCTTGTTTTTTTTTAATTACAATCATTAAATATCTCTTTTCGCTTCTAAATTCATGCGTTTTCATACCCTCTAGATTTCTTTTTAATGTTTATTTATTTACTTATATATTTTTGCACTAACTTTTTATAGTCATTTTGTTGTTTCATATATCGCAACAAAATGAACATGCAATATAAAGTTGAATGTGTTAAGGTTACAAATGTGGAAAAATAAGTAAATGTAATAACAAGGACGAAATAACAATACAATCACACAACATTTTCATACTTAAAATGGCAAGCAAATATCTTCGTTTAATGTATCATCATAATGCTAACTATGTTATCTCTGTTGTTTGAACGCAAGTATATTTACATTCCAAGCCCCTTGCCATAGTTTAATTTTTTCTATTGCGTCAAGGTTTCAACATCTGATCGTTTAATTTTCGCAGCGTTATTGTATTATTTTATATACTCATAAAAAGTCGTTATTTCTGATTTTGGCAAGATTATTAATATATATGTATTAAACGAAACATCAAATAAAGTTTTTATAAATGTTTCTTTAAACTTAAGATAGTTTTAGGTCTAACTTCATGCTATGGATAATTTTACATGCAATAAATAAATTGTTAACTATAGCGGGCAAATCGTTATCATGGTATTGTAAGATTAAACTGTATAATATCAACATTTTAAAAAGAAAGTTTTGCACCAGTTCAGTCTTATCTAAAATTCATTTGTATTCAATTCATTAGAAATTATTATCTATTTTGAAAAAAAGCAATATTATAATATTATGATTTTGTCATACATGCTTAATAAGAACTTATTCAAATATAATTTTTATGTTGTCTCTTACGTGAGAATTTGTTACAATTACTAAGACCTACTTTCCATAAACATTTTATGATGCTAGAGCATTTGTCATTCAAGAGTATTATAAGGCCGTACTTATGTCTGTACTAAAAAGAAACATTTATCAACTTATTGAATACGTCAACATCAAATACTGTTTTAAGCCTTTTTTCCCTTTTGTATCTGTTTTTTGATACATCATAACATCACTCTTTTATGTCAGAAAATAGTTTACATATAAAATGGTTGTTAACAAATTGTGAATAAAAAGTGTAAATTTGTTTTGACATATTTCTTATTTTCTAATTATCTTCCTTGAAAAGAGCCAATGGAATAAATAAAGAACACCTTGAATGTTAAGATATGCATGATATGAATCATGTTCATTTTTTTGCAGTTTGTTTTATAAAAATGACGAAGGCATCATTTGAAAATCATTATGATTTTGTTTTCTTGAATATAAATAACACAATAAGTAGAGGTACTCATAAAATATGGAAAATAATTAAAAAAATGTTTCTATGGTAACTGCTGAAGAATCAAATACTATTAATTGATATTTTGCAGCATCGGAGACTTGATACAATCTTGACTGACTTCAAACACATGCATTAATCGACCATTTAACTGGAAAAAGAATATGCATTAGATGATTCATTAGCGCTGTTAATTTCTCACTAATTTGCAGATTATATAGGAGCAAATTAATTTGCAATCAAGCCAGCGGCCTCCGTGCCGTAAAATTAAGTTTTTGTTATTACATCTAATCATTTGACCCTATGAATAACGTAAAGAAGTTATAATTTGTCCATATAAAAAGCTATTCTGCCCTACGGAAGGTCATGGTTCTACTCAAGCCAATTCCCGAAAATATTCACGAATTGAAACTTGTTGCCTTTCTTTCCCAATATAGCAGGAAATCTAAATATTTGACCATCACAGTGTCGGTGAAACAATCATAACAAATCTAAGTCAAGCATGGCATATCATGAATTTTGTGTCAACATAATTTTGCTATGATTTATTTTTAAGACGGAATAGATTATACTTATGTCATGACAATATTGTATTCTATCGCCAGGTTTGACCGCGTGAGACGATGCCTTAGATTTTTCAACTTCAAACCCTAAGAATTAATGTGTATTCGTGAGTACCAAAATTACAGGAATCTATTTGAAATTTAGTGACACAGACTATAGAAAATTATCGGAATGTTATTGTCATGCAGGTTTTCTTTTACATATTTAAAAAGACAATTATCAATGGTTCGAACGTTTACTTTTTTAAATTAAAAAGGACATATTACTATATAAGTTCAACCTCTTATATTTTCAGAGGAAGTCCTGTATTTTCCTTTCTTTCTGTCAGAACAAGGTTGGTAAAGAAAGGGGGATATCATTTATGATTATAATATAAAATATCTTTTAACGTGTATTTAAGCTTTAAATAAATGAATTGGCATATTTATGTATAAGGATTACAAAGTATTTTTAACTGTCGAATATTCTAATTTATTAAAAGAAAGTATTAGGAAAGAATTAACATGTATATAATGAAATGAAACAACTGTAGAAATTATGTAAACATGGTACATGTGTATTGTATTACATTTCATTATTTTCGACTGGCCTTATCTGTACATCAGTATCAGTACAAACGCAAACTTGTCAGTCTACTTTAACATCAACATGCTAAAAAAGTGGAACCTTTACTAACAATTATCCGGTAATATTTTTGCATAAGAGAACACCTTTATAATGACAGATTCCAGAATTTATTTTGAATCAAACATTTAAATCACCACCAAGTGGCGGCTATATTGATTTGACTGATTATGCGAACATCACAGGCAGCAACAAGATCGTCAAACTAATAAAAATGTTCTACGAAAGACAGCGACATAAATCAATTGTCTTGTTACATTTTTTTCAGTTGATGTAGATCTTTCTCATTCATCATGATTTTTGTCGGCTTTAAAGTATGATATATAAGGGTGACATTCTCTATTTCATACACGATTTTGGGAATAGAAAATATTGTTACACAATTTTAAACCGAAAAAATAAAATGGAATAGTTCCAAAATCACATTTTCCTTTAATTTTCACATCGCAAGAATAAACTAGAATAGTTCTAAAATTCCCTTTATCAATGCAAAGCTTTTATGAATATCATAAACAAATGTAGACTGATTATAGCTTTTTTGATCCAGATTTCGCTAAAGTTGACATACGTTATACATGTATATTATACATCTTTAGGAAGCAACTGCATGGTATATGCAGTTATTATTGCTAAAGTCCTTATTTAGAATGGCGATATAATATTTTTGTCCGGAACTTTATAATTCAATAAATATATGTACAATGTTTATGTGAGTAAGAAAAGAAGGGCATTCTATGTTACAGCCCTTTCGAGAGTCGATTATGGATAAATTTTATTCTTAAAGGAATAGGAGTGGATAGACTGATATCTGTCTTATATTAATATCTATCATTTAAAAATAGGTACCATGGCAGTTTTTCTGTTGAAATCAACCGTATAACTGAGAAATTCGTGTTTAAGACACTATATTTTACTTGAGAAATAGTTCATGGGCGCCGCCATTTTGGCGTTTTTTCACTCTCGCGAGACAGACGAGACCGAGATTATGACGTATTACAGTCACCCACTTACAGTATAAGTGTACACGCTGGTACAACAGAAATATATCTTGATGAAGAACTTATTAATCTTATTACGTTAATTATAATCGCATACATGCATATATTAAAACGCTTTTACAAAATGCGACGACAATAGTATAACTAAGTAGTATAATTATGTAGATATCGATATTGAAATTATTGCATGTTTCGGACTTTGTCAAACTGAATGTTTCCTCCGATAATGGATGGTTGTTACATGTACGTCAACTTAATAATTATCATTATCTTCATTTCAAGGTTTTCTTTATATGTTGTAATCAATCAAGTTTTGAAAACATCGTATGTACTGAATTGCTTTAATTAATTAATTGAATACGCCGCGACATTAATTAACATTTGTCCGATGATCAAGCTTGCTGATGATTCCTGACCACAAAATTTCAGCAATGACTGCTTTATTTTCAAAGATAAACCATTTAATTTATTTGGTCAATTTAATTTGGGTATTATAAGTAAAATGAGGGAGAAACTTCTTTAAATTGACGATAAATCCTTTAATTCTGTACTTAATTTTCGCTAGACAAACTGTCCTTTGTATGTGTGAATCGGGTACATCGCCGGTCATGTATCTTTTTTCAGTAAATCCTATATGCAGAGATCTGCCGAAGACGCGATTTGACGCCATTGGCGCTAAAAAATGAGATTGCCACAGGAAAATCGGCAGCAAGACTAATATCGTATGAAAACATAACTGTCCGTTGGGTTATTTAGTCATCCAGTCATAACTGGTACCAACAGATTCCCCTGTAACTACGCATATTCTCGATGTTATCCATTTGCCACGATATTTACTTACCCAGTTCCTTTCCCACACAGATAAACAATCATAAATCTACTTAGTATTTGAAATGATTATTGGTAACCGAAAAAAATGTGTTGCTAATTAAAGAAATGCTTTTATTTACAGTATAATCTGACAGGTGTGCAACTTGATTATCCCTAAGGTCACTGAAGTTCACTGATGAAGTGTAAAAAATAGATGTCTATTTCGTCATCAGAATATTTGACAAGGTGATTAACCAATCAGGGAAACATTGTGCATGACTTGTTTTCATGATCAAAAGGTCTGTCGGTGTATGCTTTCTACACAGAGGCATACAAGGAGCAATAAAAATCGTCAGTATACAGTGTGACAGGGACATTTGGTGCAAATTAGGAACAATTAAAATGGATAATGCACAGTATTAGACATACGTAGTAAGAACCAGCAATTGTGTGAATAAATTATGCAAATTATATTTTTGAGCAACCAATAAAAATGTTTTGCCTGCAAGTAATATTAGGCTACGATTACGATGTAAATAAATACCACGCAGCAACATACGTTGACCTCTGATTGACAGAAATGTTTACAATTTACTTTTCAAAAGAGTTGCTTATACGTATATTCGTATTTTTGAAATGTGTATATCAATTATAATCGATGTTCACACCTTTTTATTTGAAAGTCAGAATCAAACTGTAAAAAATTAATCACTATTATATCATTCTACATTAAAAATCTCACTATTTTGTATTTCAACGTTTCATATTTTCGTTTTCTTTCTTATTGACAATTACACGACATTACTTGCTCATAATACAATGATGCCTGTGGGCTATAACATTGTTTCGTTCACATTGAAATTTAAAATTCAACATGATTCGTCATTTAAATTAAAACAAAATAGTGTATGCTTGAGTGACATATGGTATTTGAATACCTTTGACACATTCTGCATTAAAGGATCAAAGAAACACAATTATAAGATATTTAATATCCTAAATTATGCCCCAACTTTAACTTCGAAAAACATATTTTCAAAATTATCAATGATCGAGCATTATAATAAGAGAGGTCTATAATATATCTAATTTATATACAGTGGATTGATATTGATGAATATATCCCTGAGTATCATTCTCTTTATTTAAGATACGGTACAAGAAATACGAATATTGACGTTATTATTTATGTATTGATAGAATGTTTTCGGCCTTATTATGAAATGGCCATGCCGAACACCTGCAGGTTTTCCGCAATTGATAATGATTTTACATTCAAAGAATTGCCATAGTGCAAGTGGTAAACATATAATGTTAGCATTATTGTCTTAAAGTAGAACATAAAAGGCATCGTTTGGCCATTGATTGGTAATGATTAACAATTTTCAATACTATTCAACTTAAATATTAAAATTATATTCTTTTAAATAACCACATGTTTGATTAAAAAAATAATAAGTAACTTTCAACGCACAACTGAGATCAACTACATATATGTTTTATGTGTATTATTGGGTTATTTTGCATATCAAATCATTCAGTTGTTTTATTGTAGATTACGAAAAATTATACACTAAATGTGAATAAACATACTCTCATACGTTATATATGTGTAATGGAATCAGCTGTACAGATAGATGTCATGCGATGTGTTTTTGTAGGTAGGAAGGTAAATCATATGTCTGTTTCTGTGCCATATGACCCCAAATGTGATGGTGCTCTGTAAAACCAAACAAACAAGCAAATAATATGCATGGTAATAAGACGGTATTTTATCTTATTGAATACATTTAAGAGTTTGCA